TATTGGCATAGTTGGTGGTTTGATCCCTGGCTCCCCTGTGTGTCACAGATCCTGAGTCCTGAATTACCCCCAGTACCCCAAGGCTTGTAGTGAGAAAGCAATCTGCTCAAAGTGAGTAAAAAAGCACACACACACTAATATTATTTACTAAAGGATTCAAATTCATATATACACCAGTCCACGTACAACAAAGTCAAGTGTCCTGTTGCATTCAAGGGATTCATATCAAAATTACTTCTTATTGTTACCTTTATCTAGGCGCATAATTTTAATGCTGCAAACGTGACATAGCACTCAGAGGTTTAGGCTACAAATGTCCAAATAAGGGGCAGTGAAAAAATTGTTCAAAGTGTTTAAAATGTCTGTGAAGACATTTATCCGGGACACGTGAGTGAGTGAAGGAGACCAACAGTGGGATAATTCCAAGAGCTTTCAGAGGAAGTTCCTCAGTCTGCTGGTTGTCTGCAATTTGTTTTATAAGTGATTAGAAGATAAATTTTAAAAAAAACTTTAAAAAATAGTGTTTTCATGCTACTGTGATAGGAATTGGCTAATAGCTGATTTTGAAAAATGCACCGCCATCATTTGATCATAATATGTCCTAATGTTTTTTCTTAAAGAAACAGGAATAGTGTCTAAAGTGTTTTAACAGCTTTATCTTTAGAAAAGATTTTGTCATTTCTGTCTTTTGCAAAAGGTGTTTCAACACACATGTTAACAATTGTTTCTGTAAATTCATACATTTGCACTGCTGTATGTAAGACTTAGTTTTTAATTTTAGAAATGAAAATAAAAGTGAGAAAATATAGTATATAAAAACCTGAGTCAGGAGATCTTCATCAATGCATGTTATAATGAATAATGTTGAAAATTGGGCAAGCAAATGCCTGGTAGAGAGGTAAGAAAACTCTGTTTAAACACAGAAAAAACATCAAACTGTTACTGCACACCTGGACACATATATTGCTTACCAGTGATGCATTCACTGCACCAGATCCAGTGCTTGTGATTACTACTGCTTTTGCACAGTAGAGATAATCAAAGGATTGCTGTTTTTCTCATTTTGTTTCAGATGTGGACTGAAGTATGGAAGGATCTCACCACCGAACGAACACTCAGTAAATGAGTAGATGTGAGAACGAGACGTCACATTGTAAAAGGACACGAGACCTTCCTCGTAATCTACAAACACCCCGACTTTCTGAGGTTTCCTTTTAGGTGAAAGGCTCACTGGTGGTGTTGTCAGGGCTGCATATTTCTGGTCTTCATAATGTACAACAACCCAGTAACCATTGTCAGGATTGATTGAGAGTTTCCCCTTGCGGTTTGCGTCTCGTCTCGCCACACCCAGATCCCACCCGGGCTTATTCCTGACCTCCACCTCCCAGTATGCCCTGCCAGAGGACAGCCTGTTGAGCCCCAGGACACTTCCAAATACATCAAACCTCTGCAGAGAATCAGGATCTGTTGACATATTTCCACTATCTTTCACTTTTTTTCCATTATCAGAAATTTCAAGTCTTTGGTGTGCGGTCGCCGGGTCCAGCTTCACGTCCACTGCGGTCAAAGGAATACAAGTGATTAAAAAGATGATTTTATTGTTACAGTACGACCAGAAAGAGATCATCAACAGAAAAAATATAACTCATGTCATACAGTTTCAACACCTCACCAGCTACTTGTATTAACTGGATAAAAAGATAACAAGTGAGAAAATATTAAAATTGGTAATCTTAAAATGATCTTTGCCATTGTTTTCTAAATGACCTCTGAATATTACATAAGAAAATTAGATTTTAGTTTAGTAAACTAGATATGAATTTTCATATCTAACAAAAACTTAGCAAGAAGAGTCCAATTCTGGACAATGAAAACTTTTATTACATCTAATACATCACAAGAGGTTTTTATTTTAAATGCCGGAGTTTAAAGAATCTAAATACCTATACTGTAAGTATCATGGGGATTTTATTTTGAAATCAGTTATAACTTAGGTCAAACATGATAATTTCCCAAAGGATTTTTTCCAATAAGAAACTGAGGATCCATCCTTT